GATCTCTTAACTTCTTAGATAACTGAATATGTGAACAACTTTTTTTAATAAAGTTGGTGCATGTGAAGTCAAATGCTTGCTAGGTGCAAACTGCGGCAACTCCTTCGAAGAGGCAAGCGGAAGGCAAACCCGAAGGTACGTCAGTTCTGAAGAAATTAGCTAGAGACCTCTAAAGATTTCTAGCCGACATAACAGCTAGTGTTCTCTTTGGCTGCTTAATATTTACGTTTGTCATTGTGTGGTTTTAACACTCCCTATCAGGAGGGCCGACAAAGAAGATAATTCTTCCCGATACCTTCTTGATGGACAGTGCCTCTTGAACTTTAACAAGCAGAAAGCCTTTAGTATTCTTATAAAGTCCTCATGTAAACCATTGTCAGAATTTTAATTGGCTGCTAAACTTGTGACACAACTGCATTCCCGCTGAAAATTGGTGAACTAAACCTACGGAATATTCACTCGGTCCCATTAAAGTAAGTCGTAGGATTCTGGTGGCCGTGGTTAATGAAAGTTTATCAACTTCTGGAACGTGTGTAAACGAAATTTCCGAATATGGCGAACAATTTCTACGACGCCAGTTACGAAGACAGACTGATGGAAATCGCTCAGTTTCCCGTAGCTTACAAGTATCAATTAGTGATCTCATTCAGGCCTACGGGATTTCTACCAAAAATTAGTAGACCTGGACTTCGAAGACTTCTTTGAAGTTGCTGGGACGAGCCACCTGCGTGGTTGTTTCTCTAAACTGCAGTGGAAATGGACCCAAACACCCGTCCGAGGGAACCTGTTCTCGCTGAGGGTGGCTGGAAACTGAAAATGAGTCCCCGATGCGGTGGTGCTTTCAGGCACTGTTGACATGCCTAGATGCAAACTTGAAACCAATTTTCTACGAAGTTATTTTACTTATGCTAAATATTGTATCGTTGGAGAATTTTGCGACTGGCACAGAGACTGATGAATATAAACCCTACAGAATTACTATTATGAAAAATTGATTCTGTTTATTTTAGATGTGTGTATTGAGAGCTTGAAATGAAATGACTTACTGAGTAAATCAAGTGATATAAGTAGATTAAAGTCCCTAGATTATTTACTGAAAGCACTTCAACTCCTCAATTCCGCCTCAATTTTCGTCTTCAAAGGAGCAACTTGAGTTTCATGATTTTTAAAACGCCGGCAAGCATTTTTTGTCCACTGGCGAGTCTGCATCACTATCCCGTTGAATAAGAGAGCAATAATTCCAATTAAATATATATGTACAGGGTGTCCCAAAAATGTATACACATTTTGAACAATTGCAACTTTGAGGTTTATTATAATTTTATTATTTCAAATATGCGAAAGTATTAAGAAGTATCATTGTATTGTTAATCCACTGAACTTTTACTTTATTTTAGATAAGTGAGAAAGGGAGAAACCATTGAAAACGAATGCGCCCAAATAAAAATCCAATTGTTTTATGGTATGTGGGATTCCATTGCTTCGCATCGTCAGCAGTGTCTGGGTAAAATGGATGTCAGTTTGAGATCGTGCAGTTAGAAGACAATAAAAGATGCTTGTTAAGAGTTTTACACTTTTTAAATAATGAAAGTATGATAAATACAAAGTTCACAATTATTAAAAATGTGTATACATTTTTTGGGACACCCTGTATATGTAGCGCGCATGTTTAAATGATTTAATATGAAAACCGAAAAACGGGCGACCAATTCTACTGCGAAAAGGGTCAAGGTCACTTTTGCCGCGATGGGACGCCTGCTCTCGTACCGTGCTTTACATGCGTTTTTTATCGTAGCAGTTATCTTTACCCTCGGAGACGCCTTGTATACAAATGATGGCACAATTCATGTGCTGTATAGTTCTAACATTACTGAATTCATCCCGAAACAGCCCACTCTTGTTCAGTTTTATCTGAGTAATTGTGGTGCCTGCCAGTCCTATGCGCCTATTTTTCAAAATGTGAGCAAAGCCGCAAAAGGTTATCCTTTTCATTTTACTTACCCTTCTAGACTGGCAATGGGCTGTAAAAATTGCTGTAATTGACTGTACTAAAGAAGAAAATAACCGCTTAGTACGAGCATACAACGTGTCCTATTTCCCGCGGATTCTTGTACGCTCAAGTTTGAAATCTTAAGTTAACAGTTCTTTTCTAAAGCTACGGATCCGA